TTTCAATCTAAAAATATTATCATATTTTATTCATATGAACATTAGATTGCATTCATACACAGGTCAATCTACTCTCATATCCTCTAATACGAAAGGCATAACTGCACCAAGAACCTCCCGTACCCAACACTCATCATTTCTTGACAAGAGAATGAGAAAATGAAGAATTTATAAGGAATACGTGTGATGGTTGAAAAACTTGAATTGTCTAACAGGAAAGCTTGGGTGGGAAGGAAATTAATTGATGTCTCTTTCGTCTAATTGGTGCTTCTCTCTCAATGAAATGAAAAGAAATTAACTAATGAAATTTATTACTACTCTTTACAAGACTTTACCAACCTCCCTTTTGTCCTATACTTCTCATTTTCTTTCCTCCCAAACAAGATTTAATGAGATTAATAATTTTCTTTGTTCCTCTATGAATATCTTCATTGACTTTATCGACGCTCGACGACAAAGCTAGCCGTAATTGGGCACAAAATTTTCTCCCTCATTAACTCTTTAGATTCCAAAACTAAAACCTGAATGATGGGAACTCGAAATCTAAAGATGGAAAACCTAACTACTACTATGGATTCACATTTTACCAAAAACTCCATGTAGAACTGAAATATTTCATATTAAAAACGACGCACATACATGACCAAAGGTTTCATCAAATCATAGAAATAGATTAAATTAAAACTCTAATTTGGTCTCTCTATTTTCTTAAAAAATTTATTTTTAATTCTTCTACTTAAAAAGATTTTTTTTTATTCTAAAAATTTGAAATTCTACTTCTTTTGTAGTTATTCTGTTAAGTTTTGATATTAAATTATAAAAACTTTAAAATAAAGAGATTAAAAGGGATTTTTTTCAAAGTAGATGGATCAAATTGGAGTTATTTTTAACTCTTTTTTAGTCTATTTACTTTGAAATTTTCGTCATTTAATGGGTCACATATACAAAATTTAATAGAATGACTAAAAATCGATCAAATTTCAAGCTTTAAGAATCAAAAATAAACTTTTTTAAGTAGATGAACTAAAAATAAATTTTTTTTTTATTAAAGTAGAGGGATCAAAATAGGAATTTAACCAAAAATTATGAAAACAATTCATAGATATATATAACAATGCATATATATATGTATATATATGTTTTGTTCTTTCGAGCTTTGAATATATACCCAGCATGTACAAAAGGAGCATGCAATATGATAGCCATATGCAGTAGCAAAGAACTCAAAAATAAGACTTAATTTGATAATTAATAATCATTTAGTATTATAAAAAGATAATAATTAGTATACATTTCAATTCGATCGATACATTTTATAATACATTAATTAAAAAATTATTATTTTTAAATTTAAATTTAAAATAAAAAAAAATTTCAATACAAATTTTAATAATTAAACCAATAAATGTTGATATACCCATCACTTTTCATTATAAAAAAATAGGGTATCCATTTCAGTTGTCAATAATTTACTGCACTAAGAAAATTGTTGTCACGTAATTCACATGTGACCTTGACAGCCTTGTATGAATAAATCAATTAAAGGGAACCGTGACCTTTAGCTATTAATTACATATATCAGGTTAATTAATTTTAGGGCATGTATCACGAATGTAGTTTTGCTTGAATAGTTAGACGATTCAATTATATGTACCCTGGTCAATCAATTGACATCCTCACATGGAATGCATTTACTTAATTCATACATCGATGGAGACGTAATATAATTAATTTTAATTAAATTGTAAAAATAAATAACAACAACAAACATATAATCTGTTGAGCCGAATGGCTCTTGTTATCTTATTAAAATGCAGTTTTTCTCTCTTCCTTAAAGTTGAATTCAAATTCTCATAATACCTTGTTAAAAAAAAAAAAATAAATAAACACCAACAACAAAAACAACAAGTGACTTTTTTTTTTTTTTAGGTATACCCTTTTTTTTTTACTGCTTTACAAATTTGTCTACATGAGAATATTGTTGCTCAACATGCATTAGGATTTTTTTTGGGGGCTTAATATATAATACATAAGGCTAATAATTGGTCATCTGTCAAAATGAAAGGCTCATGTTCAAAAAAGTAGTATGATCACTAAAAGATTAGAAAACTTAGTACTAAAGAAGATCCATCTATTTTCCAAGCCTTAAACTTCACTATAAGCATACTTTTGTAGACATATACTGCCACTATTCTTTTGATTCAAACTTCATAGTCAAGGAAATTTGAGGGATTGAAATCATTGCTAATTAAATAAATGTTAATTTGTAAGTTGTGTTTAAGATTTAAATTTTAAGGATTAGAATTTAAGTAAAATAAATTTTTAAATACATCAAATATCTAAAACAAATTAATTTCAAAATATAAAAATCTAAATCAAGAAGGAACATATATATATATATATATATATATATATAAACAACAGAAGCGATGCCGTTCGAGGGACGGTAAGAGCATTAATTTAAAGACAGCATTTGCAATCTCTTCTTTTCTTTTTCTTTTTTTTTGAACTGAAAGTAATTGACAGCATTTGCGATCTTTTGTTAGTAAAACAAAATAAAAATTAAATAAAATGATTTAAAGATAATTTTTTACATAATCTTATGTGTTATTTAAATAATTAATTTTTTTATTCATTTAGATATATTTATTTAATAATATATAAAAATTAAGATATTACTATAAGGATAACTTTCTTATACAATATTTTAACACAATTTTTATATATTATTAAATGAGTGAATGCATTAAATATCATGAGTTTTACATGAATTAAAAAATTAATCATTTAAATGATATCAAATTATACAAAAAAATAATAAAAAAATTATTTCAAAATCATTTCTCTAAAAATTATATAAAAAATATCTTTTTATTACCATCCAAAAATTAATTTTCCCCACACGACATTTTCACATGTACTCGTTTTATAAATTTTTTTTAATACAACTTTTATATGTTATTAAATGAATAAATATATTTAATATTATAAATTTTACATGAATTAAAAAAATTAATGATTTTAATGATATATCAAATTATACCAAAAAATTAAAATAAAAAATTATACAAATATCATTTCTCATTCTACCACCCAGGCCTGCGTGAAAATAGCACATAATCAAGAATTTTTTTGACAAAGTTTAAATGCAAGATTGCTTTTAAGTAGTAAATATTTGTATCATGAATTTAAAAGTTTGTTAGAAGGAAATTTCAAATATTAGTTTAGAGTATTTTTTCACAAATAATTTTAAAAGAAGATATATAATTTTTTGAAAACTTATTTAAAAGTTAATTTAAAATTAATTTTTAAAACTTATAATTTAAATAATTTAGTAATAATTTTTTTTAAAATTTTGAGTTTAAATCATATAGTATATATGTGGGTAAAATATGTTAAGAAATAAGTGAGAATTATCTTTCATTATTGTGTAGTCCTAAATATAAAACATTAATGGGTTGTTTGAATTATCTTTTTTTATATAATTAATAGTTGATAATAAATATCTAACAATTAATAATAATTATTATTAATAACGATTTATTTATATACAAATCTCATGCACCACATTTATCAAATGTTTCACAATTTATCTTTACACTTTTAATAGATGGAATTTCTTCACATTTATTAAAAATAATTATATTTTTTATTTAAAAAATCATAATAAATCTTAACTATTAAAAATTGAGAAATAAATAATTATAATTTTATATTAATATGATATGTAAAATTTATGTATAAATAGATTTTTCCTTTATTATTATTTATAATTTAAAATATTTAATAAGTTTGTTTAAGTTGTATCTTAAAAATATAAATTAAGAGTGTAATAAATATATCTTTTATAATTAATTTATATAAAAAATTATAAAAATTAATATTTATTTTAATACTATTAACTTGTAAATAATTTTAATTAATTAATTAATTAATTTAAAATCAACATTTATCTTTTTTATGCAAATTAATTACAAAAAATATATATTTATTATACATTTAATTTATACCTTAAAAAATTAAAAAATTTATATTTAATTTATTTAATTAAAATTAATAATTAATAATTATCTATATAAGGACAAAACAGACACACTTAAAATATACAAAAAAATTATTATCTTATACTGTGGTGGAAGTAAAAAAAAAAAAGAAAGAGAAAAAACCCATAGACCATATCACCTTTAAAAAATGTTTTCGCTCTGTTCAAAATCTCGAAATTAAATGACGATAATGCCAACTCCCAGTCCCACGACCCCCATTTATGAATTTGATAACACCAAATCTACATCTCCTAATAAAATAATTAGATATGACATTCCTTCCCGTTCCTCACGCCGAATCTTCACATTTACGAGTCACTCATAGCGGGTTTCCACCTTTCCAATGGGTAAAGTTTTCCTCCTCCTTTTTGTCTTCTTCTTCTTCTTCTTCTTATTTTTTTTGTTTTATTTTTTAAGTTAATTGTTAGTATTTTTAAAGATAATTACATTTTTTTTTGTATTTAAACTCTACTATTATTTGTCTATTTTAATTAATTATTTAATCATAAAAAACTTATCTTTATATTTTACTTCTTTTTTAAGAATATTATAACTAAATTAATAAATTATCTTTATATCCTTAATTCAAAAAAATAATCAAAAATGATAATTTTTTTAAGATAAAAAAAACGTAAGATCTACTTAATAACTTTTTTTATTATAATAACTTTTTATATGTAAATTTTTTACTAAATATAAAAAAAATTTAACAACCCTAATAAAATTTTAATGAAACTTTATTACTCCCTTTATTCCACTACATGGTCATTTTAGGTTAAAATTTTTGTTCTTATTTATTTATCATTTTTACTTTTTTAGTAAATTAAGATTCCTTTAATTTTTATTTCCACTCCTTTCCAATAAAAATTTAATAACTTTAAATTTTGTAGGACACTCTCCACTTTCCTATCTTTCATCTGAGTTCTAAATAATTTTTGGAATTGACCATTCAATTTCTCTTATATTTCTAATACATCAAATTTACTCTTGCTTCTTTTTCCTGTGTATATTCTCCAATAATAGGAACAATGTTGAGGGCTAATTCACCTAAAACAAATGTTATTAATTTTATATTATTTAATAATTAATTTTTTTATTTTATTAAAATTTGTAATATTATATATATTAATTCATTTAATAATATAATTTATGTTATATCATTAATCTCAAATTTTCTATCTCAATTTTCATTCTCTATATCACCACTCTTCAACAATAAATGGCTTTGTTTATCTTAAATTATACAATGAGAGACAATATTTTCTAATTTCTTAATTGTCTCATGTATATATCATGTAATTCAAATATAATATCTTTAATTATCTCACTTATATATCATATAATTCAAATTTAATATTTCTTACTTTTATTAAAAAGTGGATGTAATTAAATTATTTAAATCATTAGTTTCAACAATATATGCTTAACTATTAATGATCTAAATAACTCAGTGGTCATCTCTTTTTACTAGAATTAAAAAATTCTGAATTCGAATTACATGACATATGAGTGGACTGAAATAAGGGATGATATGATAATAGTTACCTCCTCTCATTTTGTAACCAAAATCGAAAAAAAAAAAAAACCAATATATGCTTAACTATGTTTTTTTAGTAAAAATTTTTTCAATAAATTAATTTTTAATAAAATGAGTTTAAATTATATTTAGTATGGTAATAGAAGACTCCTATTGGCCCTCACACGCCAATAACGTGTTAACCTACTATTGATTTCCAGATAAAATTGTACACTAATCGCCAGCAGCTAGCTGCTTCTCCTTGACGCGTTACATCCCTAACCTAACTAACCAATGCCCCCCGAGCAATAATCCGGTACGACCGACTTCCCCCAACTCATCCATCAAGATCCCAAAACGTGGCAAAATCTGAGGATAAATAAGTGAAAACGCAAGATTTTTGTACGACCCTGAAAAGCAGGCGATCGGTGCTCATAAAAATAATAAAATAAATAAATAAATAAATAATCTAACTCGCCCCCGTTTTAAAAGGGGCAAGACAAAAAACGAAAAAAAAAAAAATTCAATTTTCCCTGAAATAGAGTAAAGAGAGCGAAGAAGAAGGAAACCAGTGCAGAAAAGGGGAGGTTGCATATATAAGGTAGGCAAGCTATGGAGATACTTTCTTCTTCTTTTTTTCGTTTTTTGTAAAATTTTCGAAAACCCTAGGGCTATAAATTCTGCATAATATTTCTTCTTCTTTGGGTTTGTGTGGTGGATGTGATTGAAAATTTTATTTGGGATATGAGGAAAGTGAAGTTTAAGAATGTTAAGGAACTGTATGTGGGTAACACTGATGATCTTAAACCCGAGGCATGTGATTTTCACTTTGGTTTCTTTGATTATTTCGTTTGATTTTCCGTTGAGTTTGTTGTTGATTCAGTGATCATGAGCTGTTATGGCGGTTTTCTGTTTGCTTTAATTGTTTGAAGGTTGTGTGATTTGCTTGTTTCATTTGATTATTTCTTTGGATTTGATTTTTTTTTTTTTATTGTAATACTTTTTTTGTATCCAATTTTTTAGGATTGTGTATCCTGAAATGAAATTTTAATTTGGGAATTAAGGTTTATGGTGAAGTTAAATGCTTTTTTTTTTTTGGGAAATCAAGGTTTGCCTCAGTTGATTCATTTTTTTCTTCAATACTAAAGTTAACAATGAGTTTTAGTTTTCCCTCCTATTCTGCATTTTCTCAGTGATGGAATGATGTATTGAATAAGCTTAACTGTTATCTTTGTTTTCTTCTGCCCTCTTTTTTTTTTTTTTTTCAAATAGGAAATACAATCTTGAGCATAAAGAGATGGCATTTACTTTAATTTCTAAATTTTGTAGCTTTAGTAATGTAGTAGATGTGATTGCAGTTTTTCTAATCTTTTATTTTATTTTATTCTTTTTGTTTAGATCATATCAGTGTTGAAAGGGTGTAGTCATGTTCAAAGGCTTTTAGGTGAAGCTGACTGTGGTGCTTTGTCTGCTAATGTGAGAATTTTATTTAGTATTGCTATTCTCCCTCTTTCTCTCTCTCTCTCTCTCTCTCTCTCTCTCTCTCTCTCTCTCTCTTTTTGGGTTGGTTTCTTTTGTTTCGTATAATTTTGGTTACTTTAAAGAGCTGAAATTCTATATAAGATAATTTAGCTACTGATCTTGATTTTATGTTGAAAGGTTTTAGAATGATTTTGAGTTGCTCTTTCGTTTAATTGGGTCAGGGCCTCAGAGGGAGGGAGAGAATGGAGATAATGGCTTGTCTCAGAACTTACAAATTACTTTAATGGTATTGAGATTGGTTTAGCTCTTTTTTGGATTGATTTTGATGCTTACTGTTAGTTATTGTTAGCAGGGGTTTCTGGTTAAGCATGGCCTGAGTTGAATGTTTCAAGAAAAAATGAAAAATCTGATAATACATGAATTGGTGTGCTGGAAAAAAGCAGGCATTTTCTGATTTCCTTTTTATTACTAGGCCTTACCTGTAATGGATGAATGCCTTTTAACTACTGAAGTAACCATTTACTATTTTCTGGAAATGTGTTCCGTTTGTTTGTTTGTTTGTTTTTGCCATAATTGTTATGTTCCAGCTACTGAGTATGTGATTAAATTTTTAATTTTAAAACTTAAAATCAGAAATTAAAATTTATTCTATTTTAGTATTTCCAAAGCCCATATTGCATCCACAATTGATATTGCTTTTGATTGTTTCTTGCTGTTTCTTATTCCTGTTTCTATGTTTTCCATTACCGTTTATTAACACATTAATTTTTTTTCCCAATGTACTGCTTTTTCTTTCTTGTTGTAATTTTCTATTGCATATATCAGGTAGCATCTGGTGGTGAAAAAAACTCTGCCAGTAGTCATTTCTCAAAAAATAAATTGGCTCTGAAAGAGGAATCTAGGGCATGCGACACGTGTGCCACTGCGTGCTCCTCTGGCATGCATTATGAACAAGTGACACCAATGGGAGAAAAGGTGAATGAGTGTTCAGGTGACGCCAAGAAGGGGAAAAATGGTAACCGTTCCTCTGATAATGATGCCAATCTGTTGTCTCCTCTAGTTAATAATGCTTCCAATGGAAGACATCATGCCAGCAGTGAGACAAGTCACCTTCTCAGTGCATGTTCTAGTCATGGATCTTTCTCTGAAAATGAAGAGAGTGAAGAGAATTTGAAGGATTTTAACCGCTCTGGAGACAATCAGATGGTTGTAAAATCAAGTGTTGCTCAAGCCAATGAGAATTGCAGTTCGGTAAAAGCTCCAATCTTTCATGATAATCGCATCTCAAGTCAGCCTGAGAAACAGAGGGAATTGGAATGCCTTGGAGACAACATTTCCTGTATCAGTGGATCAGACAACATGAAGATGAGGGCTGGTAGCCGTACTGGTGATGCAGACTGGAAAAATGTGTCTTGTTGCTCTCCGGCTAATAGCTTTTCTGAGGTTGAAAAGGCTGTTCACAACCAACCTTCTTCTTGTTGCTTGAGTGGTACTCCTTTGGGCAATGCAGATCCCAAGAACCAGAAGAGTTTGAGAAGTTTTACCAAAGACTCTTTGCCGGAAATTTTATGTTGTTCAAAAGTGCCAGACTCATCAGAAATTTCATCCTTACGAGATTCCTGTGCTGGCACTGGGTCACTGAAGGTTATTAATTTGGATTCTTTTTATTCTGACAAACTAAGTATCAAATTGAATTTTTGTTGTGAAACTATATAAAAGTTGAAATTTAATTCTACTCTTCATTTTCAGGGAGAGCGATCTGAGTGCTCTGAAGAACAAGTGCAATCATCATTTGCAAGGGAAAACACATCCAAGATTGGCAATGTGATGGGTGATGAACACAGCTCAACTGGATCTTTGCAAGTGAATGCAGAAAATAATAAACTGCATTCAGCCGAAGTTGCAAGATGTTCAAATAATTTGGAGCTTTTTAAGATATCTTCTACAGTAGTCAAGGAATCTGGCTTTTCAGGGGGAACTATCATTGGATCCGTGCCTGCTGACTGTGCTGATGGATCAGGCATTATAGAATATGATGTATGTATTGCTTTATTGATTTTATATCTTAACATTTTCTTTAGTGTCGCTGTAGTGTCTGTATGTCAAGATGAGACTAGTGAGTTTTCTTTTTCTGGGATAGGGGTGTTTATACTGCTGTAGTTTCTTTATTCAACTTAGGTTTCATTTCAAAGTTTGGAACTTATAAGCGTTAAGATGGTACTGTTGCCAAAATTCACTGGGTAGAAAAGGTTATTTTCCACATGTAATGATATTGAAATCTTTTTCTTTGTGTAGATAAACAGTATATTGACTAAGATGGAAATAAGTATATCTTATTATGCAACTATAAGTCCAACTATTGTGGGAAGTAATTATCATTGCATCATGATTCTTAGGTAGAAAAGTTATGATATATTTGTAAATGCTCCTTATAAATATCCCTTTTTTTCTTTTCCCTTTTGATATTGATAAAATTAGAACTATCACCAATCACCACTCCCACTCCTTTGAGCTAATGCCTGAGTACAGGATTTGCTCAAAAAATGGGATTAAAATTGCAAAAAAAAAAAAGAGAAAAAAGAAGAAGATTTTAAAATAAAAATTATTTTGTGGAGGTAGTGAAAGAAACAATTATGCATTTATACTTCATGGAATTAACTGTTGGCACTTAGTTTGCACTTTGCAATATGTTCTAGATGCATGTATCTGAAATGACTTTTTGGATATAAGTAGCACGGACCTAAGGATGTTATGTTGAACAAAAATGATCTGGTTTAAAATAAGAGTAGTTATATATGGAGAACTATAGCAAGTTTTGAGTCATACAATTTAAAGTTATGAATCAATTATCAGCAATTCTTGCTTTAGAGAGTAGCAATACCATGTGTTACTCCTTGCCTCTGGATTAAGATTGCATCCTTAATATTGGTGGCATTGCCTTGCAGGTAAAAGTTTGTGATATATGTGGTGATATTGGAAAAGAGGAGTCACTTGCTATCTGTAGCAAATGTAGCGATGGTGCAGAACACATGTACGTTCCCCATTTCTATGTTCTAGCTACTTGCATTTGTGTGATATTTTATGTGGTTGATGTATTGACATTTCATTCCCATCAACTAGTTATTGCATGCGTGCCAAGCTGGACAAGGTTCCTGAAGGTGATTGGATGTGTGAAGAATGTGCCCTCAGTGAAGAAAATGAGAAGAAACAGCAAGAGAAAATTGAGAAGGAAGTTGAACCTTTGAAAAAATTACCCTCTAGTGAAATCAAGCAAAACCCTCAAAATTCAAGTGTTCCCCATGTAAAGGATACTTTGCAATCTGATATTAAAGGATTGGGATTTGAGAAAATCAGAACACATAAAGTTAGCCCTTGTCGTCCTTTCTCTTCTAAGAGTCCCACAGGCTCTGCGGAAGCTATCTCTGCAATAAAGAGGCCTCTAGGAACAATTGTTAAATCATCTAATGCATTGAGTCATGGCAGCAAAAAATTGAAATGTCTTTCAAGAGTCAAAACCTCTGGAACTAATATGGTAACTGCCCGAACTCCTATTACATCAGGTGGTAAATCCCCTGCATCGCCATTACAATCTCAGATGTTAAAAGGTATATATCTTAGACACCTTTCACTCAGAAGCTTAACATTTTACTTCATAAGTGTTTTCTCGTCTATGAATTTTGACTCATCAAGTTTTGCATGCTGGCAATGGCATTGCAGGATCTCTTTCCAAGTCAAAGTCTTTTCCCAGTACAAGCTTAAAAGAGGTGGCCCAACCATCCAGGGAAGGCAGTGGACGGATGCAAAATTTTGCTGGAGAAACTATGAAAAACAACATTAAGGAGGGAGTTTCCAGAACAATGTTCAAATCATTGTCCTTCAACAGTGCCATGTCTTGTGGTAGGAATAATACAAGTCATGACCTTAAAACATTCCCTTCTAAGTTTTCTAGTGGTAGAGATTTGATGAGATTAAGGCATGCAAAAAGACACTCTTTAGCCAAAACCAAAAAGACATTGAGTTCAGCTGTTGATGATCCTGCTGCATTAAAGGTTTATGAGAAAATTACACCTCCTGAGAAAACCACTTTACCAGAGTTCACCAGCTCCAGTTGTCAAGATCCGCCAGCTGAGAAAGGTTATTCAAGATCAAGTAATTCACTGGAATTTTCTGGTTATCTGGCTCAAAGAGGCTTCCCAACTGAGGAGAAAAAGGATTGCATCGATGCTGTGAGGCAGCATGTTGAATGCTTTGCGGAAGCAGCACCTGCCACCAATGTAAATCATTCAAACGCTGCTCATTCTGAAGAAAGGACTTGCCTGAGAGATGCAACCTTGTTTGCTTCTTTGAGGGACATTACTCCTCAGATTTCTGCTATTCCAGAGCCTGATCACCTATGGCAGTATGGTTTTTTCTCCTTGCTGACTGTTCATTTTGGAATTTGCTGAATACTTGTAATCTAGTGTCATTATCCTCAGGCCTTTTGAGTTTCTCATCCATATATTTTAACATGTCATGCAGAGGCAGATTTGAAATTTCTAGGAGCAGTAAGCATCCAATTAATTGTGATGGAATTCAAGCACACTTGTCATGTCTTGCTTCACAGAAAGTTCTAGAAGTGGTGAAAAAACTTCCTCAAAAACTTCTAGTGGCAGAAGTACCTCGGTTGAGTATATGGCCAGCTCAGTTCATGAGAAGTCAGGCCAGTGAAGATAATATTGCTCTCTACTTTTTTCCAAAAGATCTTGCGAGGTTTGTTAAAATATATCTTCCTTTAAGAGAGTTATTTTTGGGAGAGTGGCAGACTGCTTAATTATTCTATGTCCTCCTTATGCAGTTACGACAGAAGCTACAAGGGCTTGGTGGACAGCATGATTAAGAATGATTCCTGCCTTAAAGGGAATTTTAGTGGATTTGAGCTGTTAATTTTCTCCTCTGACCTGCTTCCTGATAAAGCCCAGCGTAAGTATTTAAGCCTATGAAGCATGCATCTATAAAATAAAAGACTAAATTGTAGTTACCTATTGCTAAATCTTAAGGCATGACTCTTACAGGTTGGAATAAGATGTTGTTTTTATGGGGTGTGTTTAGAGGAAAAAAGATTAATTGCTCAGACAACTTGCCAAGACAGAGGAGCTGTACTTCTAGCTTGAAAGAGGGATCACCTAAGCATGACCAATCCACTCATTCCATGTCTGCTTCAGACCCGTCTGGACAGTCAAGTGGAAGCTTTCCTGATAATGCACAACAAACACCAAACTCTACCACCTTGATTGACGTGCAAAGTGTTACATCTGGAAGAATGGTCGAAGTTTGTGAAATCAAAGTATCTTCTCCTGAACTGAAGTTTTCGGATTTGCAAACAACCACTGATCAACAGGTGCGCCCAGTTGACCCTCAAATGAAAACTGAGGTGTTGTCTGGTGATGTGCCTTGTCCTGAACAGAAGTTTTTGGATTTGCAAACAACCCCTGTTCAACAGGTGAGTCCAGTTGACAATCAAATAAGAAGCGAGATGTTGTCTGGAGACCTGAATTGCTCCAGTTCTTCCCAGGTAGTTTTTCTTTGCTCATAGTTTCAC